CCCCCAGTACAACGTCCCTGGCGCACAGCGCAGGAGAGGGGGCCTGACTTCGCCGTCGTTGGCGTGGCAGGTCGCCATTGTCCAATTTGCTTTTCCCCGCAACAACGTCAACCATGGTTTCGTCTGCCGCGCTCTTTCTCGGCACGGCGGCCCTCGTCGTGTCTGGCGCGTCGGCCGGCGTGTGCAACCTCATCAACGGCGACGTGATTGCCCTCAAGGGCGACACGGGCAAGTACGTGACGCGATGCAACGGATGCGTCCCCGGCGCCGCGTACCCCGACTCGGCCAACTTTCAAGGCCCCATCAGCAGCGCGACCCCGTACTCGTACTGGACCGTCGTGGATGCCGGCAACGGCAAGATCGCGCTCAAGGGGGACACGGGCAACTACTTGAGCCGGTGCAACAACTGCGCGCCCGCGTCGTACCCGGACATGGCGTTTGTGCACGTGTCGGACTGGAAGGCCGGCCCGTGGGCCCAGTGGACGTGCGAGGACGCTGGCAACGGCAAGATCGCGCTCAAGGCCGACACGGGCAAGTACCTTGCGCGTTGCAACAACTGTATCCCTGGCGGCCCCGCCGACGCTGCGTTTGTCCATGTGTCCAACTGGCGCGACGGGCCGTGGGCGCAATTCCAAGTCGAGTTCAAGTCGCCGTGGAAGTGCCTCCCGTCGGTGGGGTCGACTCCGTTCAGCATCGCCAAGGACGGCAACGTGCAGTGCTGGTCGGACAACGGACGCGACTGTGCGTGGTCGGCCGACTGCAAGTCGCTGGTCGCGTCGGGCGCGCAGCCCAAGATGCCCCTCGTGTGTGGTTGCATGCACAAGGACGTGTACGGGATGACTGGGTACGACCAACCGACGCACTGGTGCAGCACGGCCAAGCAACTGCTGGGGGCGACGCCGCCGACCGAGTCGTGCGCGTGCAAGTTCAAGACGGGCGACGTGATTGCGCTGCAAGGCGACACGGGGATGTTTGCCACGCGGTGCCGCAACTGCCTTCCTGGCGCGGCCTACCCCGACTCGGTCAACTTTCAAGGACCGATCAACGATGGCACGCCGTACTCGTACTGGACGGTCGAGAACACTGGCGACGGCAAGCTGGCCCTCAAGGGAGACTTGGGCAACTACTTGAGCCGATGCAACAACTGCGTGTCGGGCGCCGCGTACCCGGACCAGGCGTTTGTCCACGTGACGGACTGGCGTTCGGGCCCGTGGGCCCAGTGGACGTGTGAGGAGGCCAACAACGGCAAGATCGCGCTCAAGGCCGACACGGGCAAGTACCTCGCTCGGTGCAACAACTGCAACCCTGGCGGCCCCGCCGACGTCGCGTTTGTCCATGTGTCCAACTGGCGTGACGGCGACTGGTCGCAGTTCAAGGTCGTGAAGAAGCAGCAGCCGGTGATGCTTCAGATGGCGGCGGCGTCGTCGCAGAGCCAGACGACGTTGGTGGTCGTGTCGATGGCGGCTGGCGCGTGTTTGGCGTTGGTGGCAGTGCAATTGTACAACCGTCGCCGATCGATCCTGTCGACTCCTGCCGAGCGCAAGGGGTTTGTGGGATTGTAAGCGCCTTGGTAGTGTCGTCCTGCATGCCGAAACACGATCGATGATCGACCTTTTCGTAATGAATCCTCGTGTTTCTCCATCACGTTGTTTCTTGTCGTGCATCGGTGGCTGATGGTATCTGTCTTGGTCTTGCCAAAGGTCGCCGTCGGCAGCATGACGTTGTCGATC